GTAAAGAATTGGGTCCCCACCTCCTGAGGGATCAAATGAAAGAAGTATTAAGATTTCGATCAGTTAATAATATAGTAATGCTCCTGCTAAAACGGAGGGATCAAAGAAGAAGAATAGCTGTAATAAAAATGGATCAAACAAGAAGAGGAATTTTATCAATGAAAAATTTTGTGATGTATATTTAAACTTGTTGAAATAAAATGATTGCACCTAAAATTGAGGATATTCCAGCAATATGTAATGAAAAAATAGCTAAATCAACTGATGGTCCATTATGAAAAATATTAGATGCTAATGGGGGGTATACCGTTCAACTGTTTCCACACCATCATTAATAAAATTTCTAATAAAAGTAAGGAAATTGAGGGTGGTAATAATCAAAATCTTATATTATTATTCGAGGATAAGCTATATCTGGCGAACCTAATATTAAAGGCACTCAAAAAATTTCCAAATCCACCAATTATAAATGGTATAACTATAAAAAAGATTATAATAAAAAGCATGTCTAGTAGCTATTGAGTATTAGAATTTGATCATTATAATAGAGGATTTGGTGATCCTAATTCTAATCGAATAATTATTCTTATAGAAGTTCAATTATTCCTGCTCAAATAGCGAATAAAAAATATAAATTCCATATCTTTATGGTTAGTTGAATATAATCATTTATTCATAAATAAGATTTGAACTAAAAATAGATGATAATTATATATAAAATATTATGTTTGATTTAAGTAATAAATTGTAAATTATCTAAGAAAATAAAAAATTTTCTAATATTAATGTTTATCTTTATATTAATTTTAATATTTTTTTATGAGCGTTGTTAGCATTACTATTTGTATTATTTTTTGTATCATTATATATAACATGATACTATTATAATTTGTGTAATGTACATAATTTTTATAAAATTTATAATTTTTATAAGTATTATTATAGATATATTTTTTTTTTATAATAATATTATTATTATAATAATTATAAATATTATTTATTCACATCTCGACGGACTCCAGCTGGCCGATCCTCGCTTCCTGGACGACGACCCAGCTGAGCTACTGCTGGGAGCCGAGGTCTACTCCTTGATCCTCGAGGAAGGCCTCCGCGAGTGTGACTCAAGGATGCCGACCGCCCAGCAGACCAGCCTGGGATGGATCCTGTCCGGCGGCTACGACGCAACAGCAATCAACGGACATCGCCGCACATTCCGGTGCACCGCCGATCACGACCTCGCCGACCTCGTTCGACGCTTTTGGGAGCAGGAGAGCGAGCCAATAACTCGGGCTCCACTTACTCCCGAAGAAGCTAAGTGCGAGGAATTATATGTGCGCACCGTCACACGCACGTCCACCGGGAGGTACATTGTGAGGCTACCACTTTCATCACCGCCGACGAATCTTCACGAGACTCGCCGACCAGCGGAGCGCCTCTTGAGAACCATGGAGACCAAAGGCAGCCGAGATCCTCGATTTGGCGACCTTTATCGCAGCTTCATGCAGGAGTTCGAAGACCTACAACACATGAAGAGAGTCAACATTGCAACTACAGCGGATGACCTCAAGTGTTACTTACCGCATCACGGGGTCCTGAAGGAGTCGAGCACGACGACAAAACTCCGAGTCGTATTTAACGGCTCTCAACGCACACAGGCCGGTACTTCACTGAACTCTCATCTGTTGACTGGGGCGAATCTTCTGCCAGCGCTCAACGACGTGTTGCTGCGATGGCGTTGGCACCGGTACGTCTTTGTCACCGACGTAGAAAAAATGTACCGCCAAATCCTCGTACATCCTGAGGATTGCCGTCTTCAAACAATCCTGTGGCGTCACAACAAGACGGACGAAATCCAAGAATACGACCTGCTAACGGTGACCTACGGCATGGCTTGTGCACCGTTCCTGGCCATACGAACACTGCGGCAACTCTGCGCAGACGAGGGGACGCAATTTCCTCAAGGAGCCACAGCACTTAAGCGTGACTGCTACGTCGACGACGTGGTCACCGGCGCAGACAACCTCGACGATGCCATCAACCTCCAGACGGAGCTGCGCCACCTGTGCACGGCGGGCGGATTTCCACTGAAGAAGTGGGCCTCAAATAACTCCGAGGTCCTCGCGGGAGTCCCTCAAGAGCATCGGCTGCCGCAAGGACCGCATTCATGGGACGGAGAGAGCCATTCGACCTTGAGCCTGCGATGGCATCCTCAAGATGACTGGTTTGCCTTCGCAATACATCCGCGTTCAGTCACAGAATTCACGAAGCGACGAGTCCTCGCCGAGACTGTGCGACCGACCACTGGTCGCGATCCCCAGGATCCTGTTGCGGGCGAACGACCCTCGCAGATGGATGAAGCAGACCCAAACACCAACGACGGAACACCCAAGGAAGTTCCACCTACCCAGGAAGCGACCTCGTTGGAGATAGCCGATGAACGACCCACAATCATCCTAGGAGCCACAGCGAGCCCTGAGAAGGATGAAGGACGTGTCACGGATATCCCAATGCAATAGGGGTGATAAACCCTATGAAATGTATATAGATGTATATAAAACGGTTAGTAATAACGTATATAACTATTCGGTGACGTCCAAGTCATATTTTTATTTTTAGTTAAGATAGAGAGAAAACTACATCGGATCCGCACTTGAGATCGCTCGTGTTATCGAAATATACGTTGGATAACTTCCCAACACGGGATTAGCTTTGGAGAGCCATGCGAATGACATAATTGCTCAGAGAAGCATCTCAACTGCGAATCCGACTGAAACAAGTTTCTAGCTCACCCAAGAGGTGAGAGTTTAGATTTACGACACGATAAGTGATTAATGGACTTGGACAGATACTAAATACAAAATTGCGGTTAATAAAATCGATCTAACGGATGTCTGAGATGGAGCTAAGTCGCGAGTCCTATTAGAACAGTTAGGATTTCAAAGTAACCTGAATCGGACTCCCATAGTGTTTCCGAAGCATCTTGAAAGGTAACTAACTTTCCATGTCGACCTGATTCAAACTAAGGTTGGAGGCTAACGAAATCCACTAACTTAAATAACTGGAGCCGAGAAATAATCGTGACAAGTACACAACTACCCATAGTAGTAATTAGCAAACGCGACTTGGTCTAGTCCTGACACTCGTTGGATTCAACAAAAATAATTAGATAAAATAAGTTTTAGATTAAGTTAAATGTATATATACAATAGATACTTACCTGCGATAATGACCCAGCTAGACTCGCAAAGACAAGCTGTGGCCAGATAGGTTAAAAGCCCAAGGGTAACCTAAATTTAGTCACAGTCAAGGGCTACTCAGGAAAGAGTATAAATTATTAAGTTAATGACATTCAATAGGAAATTGGATATCACTATTTTATTTCACGTTATGTAATTTTCTTTTAGCCTATGGTAATTTTTCAGTTTAATTTAGGTTATCTTATCTTATTTTATTTTATTTTATTTTACTTTATTTAATTTATTTTACACAAATAAACCAAGCCCCGAACACCCGGGCACGCTAAATTAAGATTAGCGAAATAATCGGGAAAAAGGAACTCTAGTAGAGTACACTTTACAATAACTAAAGCGAAAAATAGAACTCTCGCGGAGTCAGCGCTACACACCCATGCGGCGATTCGTTCCGAGTCCTTCGGTGGGGCGGCGTTCCCTGATTGGCCGGCGGGCCAAGGGAAGGGCGAGCGCGAGGCATCCGAACCGGCTATATAAGTCGCGAGCAACGATCGCTCGAGACAGTCGGGCTAGTGAAATTTAACCATCACGAAAGCGCGATTCGTCCGGGACATTCCTTTGTCTCGTTAGATAATAACAATCGGACGGACAGTGCATCAGTACATTGCACTTGTACGAATCGCGGTTGAGAAGTCGCGAGTTCCGATTCGTTAGACAGTCGAGGCGGATCGAAGATCATGCGAGTGATCGAAGCGATTAATATATCGTGTACCTTTCGACGTGTCGCGTGATCCTAATGCGAAAACTCATAGGTGACACGACGCGTGTCGCAAGCGGTAACAATCGCGAGTGTTTGGATTCACGTTAACTAGTCGCGCCTAGTTTGTAAAAAGCGTACAACTAACCGTGCGGACTAAATTATGTGTAAAGCGTAGGTGGCTATGTAAAGAAGTGACCACTGGACACCTAAAAGAAATAAACTTCTTTGTGTTAATTAAACAGTGTAAAAGTTCACTTACCTGCGTTTCCATTATCCCACGGATATCCTCCGTCAGTCGTAAATCCGTACCCAAGGTGACGTCGAAGTCCGGCGGTATTCTGAAACAAAGGAGAAAAATTAAGGTTAAGATCCTGCGGCAATCCTTTGTCCGCGGCGCGTCAAAGCGTTCCCAACCTGTGAAGCAGCGTCGGCCATCTTCTGAAGGAAGCGCGGCGCCTATCAAAGAGGACAGCGAGACAGGGAACTGTCAAAGCGGCCCGAACATCAAAGGATCAACACCGATCAACCATACCTTCTTGCTTGTATAGGCTAAAGCAAGTGGCGACCATTAAGGTGAAAGCGGGGCGTCTGTTGACTGGTAAGTCGAGCGGAGGGCCATTTCTCTCATGCCGTCCGGTCACAACTGCACGGCTATTCGACCCGATGGACTGGGACGCTCCACTGTCAAGGATGTTCAACGTTGGCAACAGCTGCTGAACCAGCTACCTCTGCTCAGCAACATACGAGTTAATCGCTGGCTCAGCACCGACGACGATCACTCAAGGCTTCAGCTCCACGGCTTTGCTGACGCTTCCGAACGAGGATACGCCGCAGCGGTTTACCTCCGCAACTCTGAAAAGAGGAAAGCATCAACCATTTGCTCATGGCGAAATCCAAGGTCGCACCCGTCAAGCAAGTTTCACTGCCTCGCCTGGAGTTGTGCGCTGCTGATCTACTCACCACGCTCACGCTGCATGTCCGCAACACGCTCGACTTGGCGTCTACTCCGGTGTACCTGTGGTCCAATTCCAAGGTCACGCTCCATTGGATCCAGGGACACACCACCCGCTGGAAAACTTTCGTCGCCAACCGGGTAATTCATATCCAAACACAGCTCCCGGACGCTCAGTGGAAGCACGTAGCCGGGAAAGACAATCCTGCAGATTGCGCATCAAAAGGAATTACTCCTGGGGAATTAATCAACCACGCATTATGGTGGACTGGACCTACCTGGTTGGCACTGGACGAAACGGCGTGGCCCAACTCAGAGGTCGACATCTCAGAGGACGACCTTCCGGAACAACGCACCACCAGCCTGCTAACCAGGAGTTCCGTCATCATTGAACCGGACCTCCTTCTTCGGTTCTCCGCTCTTCATCGGCTACTGCGCGTTACAGCTTGGTGCCGTCGATGGCTCAACCTGGCAAGCCGGGAGGTCACATCTGGTCGCTCGCTGCATCCTGACGAGCTAGACGCCGCTCTACTCCAGTGGCTTTGAGTGGTGCAGGCGCTCCACTTCCCTGACGAGGTAACTGCTGCCACCGCAGGCCGGCCCGGTCCACCACGCAGTTCACTGGTCAAGCTGAACCCTTTCCTCGACGACCAAGGTGTGCTTCGCGTCGGAGGACGCCTCAAGCACGCTCTGCTGCCCTACGACAAAAAGCACCCGGTGATCGTCCCGCCGGCCTCCTGGATGACGCGACTGCTAATCGAGTCCTGCCATCGTTGGTCTCTGCATGGCGGCGTCCAGATGACTCTCAGCTTACTTTGCCTTCGATTCTGGGTGCCACGTGGAAGAACCGTCGTCAAGCAGCAATTGCATCGGTGCGTCACTTGCACGCGCTGGCGAGCTGCCACTCCACAACCTCCTATGGGCAACCTTCCTCGTGACCGAGTGACGCCGACTCGGCCATTCCTGAGTACTGGCCTGGACTACGCGGGACCCATTTCTATCCGGACCAGCAAGGGGCGCGGACACCGCTCACAGAAGGGATACATCGCAGTCTTCATATGTTTCTGATCAAAGGCTATCCACCTCGAGGTCGTCTCGGATTACAGCTCCGAGGCCTTCATCGCCGCCTTACGCCGCTTCGTCTCTCGCAGAGGTCTGTGCAAGGACATCTACAGCGACTGCGGCACAACATTCATTGGCGCCGATTGCACATTGCGTGAGCTCTTCAAGGCGTCGACCTCCGAGAGCCATCATGTCGCCCGCGCCGCCAACACTCAAGGGATCCGCTGGCACTTTAATCCGCCAGCGGCCCCTCACTTTGGTGGTCTTTGGGAGGCTGCCGTAAAATCCACAAAATTTCACCTCCGTCGAGTAATCGGCGAAACTACACTTACGTTTGAGGAACTTAGTACACTCCTCACACAAATAGAGGCGTGTTTTAATTCTCGTCCGTTACAGGCTCTGTCAGACGATCCAGATGATACTTCGGCGCTTACACCAGGCCACTTCATCATCGGAGCACCGCTACTCGCGGTACCTGAGCCATCGCTGACGGGTCAATCAACCTCCACGCTGTCACGCTGGCGTCACCTGCAGCTGATACGAGACCATTTTTGGCAGCGGTGGTCGGCTGAGTATGTGCACGGTCTCAACCCCCGCACCAAATGGTTCAAGGCCGAGTTCGTACCTCACGTCGGGGACCTCTGCATCATCCGCTCGGAGCTCACCCCTCCGACCCGATGGCCTCTTGCGCGGATCACGAAACTGCATCCTGGGGACGACGGTATCGTCCGCGTGGTCTCAGTCCGCACCGCCACGTCCGAACTTGTACGCCCGCTCGTCAAATTGGTCATGCTTCCGGGCGCGGATCGTATTCCGGGCAGGAATAACGCGGACACGCCGTCCGCCGGCACGTAACTCATCTCTCATCTCGCGACACTCATTCACCACATAATCATCACATGCACTGTAACATTTGTCGCACCTCAGTTTTCTCATAATCACCGCATTGCACTACACACTATTCATTGCACATCAAACACGCGTTTTCACTCTCGCAGCTGATCGCTCCGCACCACGCTATCACCACGTGTTTATCGGCTTGTCAGCTGATCGCGTCACATTCCACGCGATCATCAAGTATTTCACCGCGCCGGCGCGCGCCCGCCCCACCATCGATCGCTATCGACTTGAGATTCCGCGGCCAAAATTCGACAGCATGTTGTCACTGCGCGACAAGGCGGTCGGGAATGTTCAAAATGCATAAGAAAACATTCTCCGCATAATAAAATATTATACTCGAATAGAATACTTTAGAATATTCTAGACCAATCGATATTTTCAGCAAATCGTTTTTATATGTTTTTCGAGGAGAAAACGCCGCGACATAAATAAATCTGTTTCGGAAAAAAACCTCTCAAAACATCAACAATTAACGGTATTACAACTGTTCCGCCGAATAATTATTTTTCAATGAGCATGCGCGGCTTATCACGGGCGCCTCGCTTCACCAATAATTATCGCGATCGCCCGCTCGCGCATGCTTTCTTCCAGTCGTCGTTCCGTTAATTTTGACAGCGGCCAATTACGCGTAATGCACTCAGGTCACCTCGC